GATTACCTTGGGATTATAGAAATGAACTTACAGAGATCCATGAATACCTGAGCTGTGAGCAAAACATCTGTATATATGCTTGTTTAGGATGAGGGCCTACCTTTCTTAGTGAAATTTCAAAATCATTCATATTCCTCCCCCCAGAGAAATGATTAAAACTGTGTATGTAGACAAAAAAAGGTATGGGTCAATAAAAATGACACTCAAATACATAGGAATTCATTGTTTGAAAAATAAAGAGCTGGGTTTTGAATATAGCTAGTTACCTAACATCATCTAAAGCCAAAAAAAAAAAAAGCATTGGATCAATCTTAAAAAATAGTTAAACCAAAACTAATCTATATTTGTCTTTAATACATTTTTTTAAATTTCACATTTGAAAGATATGCTATCCAATGTTTGAATTAATAGCAATATTCAAATCTAAAAGCACAGCTACATTAAAATATTTTAGTTCAGGAATAGCAATCAAATCTCAGCCAAACAAGATGTAGATTTTCCTCAAAAGTTCAAAGTAACATCAGCCTAATAAGTTGAGAGCAAGAAGTCAACTAGAGCAAGGATGACAAGAATTTATGCAAGCTAAATTTTCCGCTGAAAAGAATCCTGAGCTCAATTGTTAGAGGAAATTCTTGTTTTCAGTTTCTTTGTGACAACCTCATTGTAGAATGTGTTCATTAGAGTGGGGCTGTCATGCTTTCTAAATTCCTATAGTTACCTTGTCTTCTAACAAGGTGGACAATTAACACTTCCAGTCTCTGAGATAACAGAAAGCCTTAGTCATATAAGGGACGCTATTTAGAGTATAAAAAGAGAAACAGGATAACAAAGCGGTCTGAAATTAAGCTGATGTGTAATTATATAAACTGAAAATTTCTTCTGTCATGTTGACATTTTAATATTTCATCATTATAATTTAGATTTGTATCTGCATAGCTAATTAGATGATACATTTTTCTGTATTTTACTATCCTATTAATAAATTTATAAAACTACCATATACACTCACCCAATATTCAACATATTTTGACCAAAAAGCAGAGAAATTTACTTATTTTTTTATTTACTCCACTTCTGATTTTATGAGGACATTTACATGAGGTCACACATTAAAACAGATAATTAAAAGAAAATAACATATCATTACCTGAGAAACCAAAATTGCAGTAGTTTAGAATGAAAAAGAACAGATATAAAAGCCTTAAGATCCTATACAGCTATTCATTTTCAGCTCTTAATTTGACTCTGACATCCCTAGTAACTAAAATAAATGCTACTTTTAATTAATTACATGATTTTCATTGTATATAAGAACAAAACACACCACTTTACCTAGGTTGATTTAAGTGAGAAGGATGGGTATGAAAGTTTTAATTCATGAAACTGGTATTGAAAGAAATGCTTTGGGGGCTATGTCTCTGAAATCTAAACTCCTTAGGCATCTTTATATAAGAAACAGTAACTTACATGTTGACCAAGACTTTAGTAACAGCCCTGTAGTAGACCTAGAGCAGGTTGTGTGAGCTGGGAGCTGTTTCACATAGAATTACTGTGTATATACTGAGAGCATAATGTCAAAGCATAGTAAAGGCAATTTCTGTTTGGGGAACTTCTAAACAATGCCACCCACATATATACCTTTCTAATAACTTGAATTGCTCTGAAAATAAATCATAGATGCTCCAGAAATACAGATTATCCACGTGTGCTTTAGAAAGGCATTCATATATTTCATGTCTTTCAGCAATTTGTTTGTAAATGTTGGGCAGCAGATATTGGCAAGAATCTGAAATACAAATATTCTGTGTTTTACCTTTTTGCAATTCTTCATCCCTTCTTTGGCAATAGATAACAAAATATGAATAGCATATTAATCTGTGTTTGTATAGAACTTTGTAGAACTTGCCATATTATTTTGCCATGTATCTCCTCAAGGGCAGAGACCAAATCTCATTTATCTTTGTATTTCAGCATCTAGTAAAGAAAGTGGAGCCTAATGGATTTTTAATCCATTATGCTTTCCTGAATAAGCCATTTTGCACACTTTTGAGGGCATTGTTACCTTTCATATAGCTTGAAAAAGGTCGGGGTCATGCACCAACTAATACCAAGGAACCTAATTTATAGTCAAAGCTTTCCTTTGGCATCAATTCAGAAGCATTAATGGGAAACACTAGCAACCTTCAAAATGTAAGCATGTGTGTCAATAACATGACAGATCAACATTCACATAAATGATCTATGAAACAAGAGCCATATTCTACCTTCTAAATTAAATGATAATTAAATCTGTAATATCCAGATTTTAAAAATCAGCTTTGTGGGCATTCAACATGGAGCCATATTTAAAGTTATAAAATAAAAAGTCAAAGTCTCCAACCATGATAGTAAATTATTGGAGTGCAGCTCATATATCCACAGCAGAATCATGTAACTTAGTTCTGCTCCCTTGAGCTGGGCCTGCAAAGAGAATGAATGATTGTAATCATAGTATGGAAATACAGAGTCAACTACCAGCCAGACAATGTCAAAATCAAAATCAAATGAATCAAATTCATAAAAATTGTTAATACTGCACAGACAACATGTTTACATGATTAACCTCTGAATTAATTTTGAATAAATTATTTTTGTAACAGTTTGGAAACATACATAGGATAATAGATGGAATAAAATGATCTCCTTTCCCACACTCTATGAGTGACTGCATTGCCAGAATACAATATCTCTAGCATGTTGCCACTTTATTTATTTCTATTTATTTATTTATTCTTGAGACAGTGTCTCGCTCTGTACCCCAAGCTGGAGTGCAGTAGCACAATCAATCACGGCTCACTGCTGTCTCTGCCTTCCGGTTGAAGCGATTCTCCTGCCTCAGTCTCCTGAGTAGCTGGGATTACAGGTGCCCACCACCACGCCCAGCTAATTTTTGTATTTTTAGTAGAGACAAGGTTTCGCCATGTTGGCTGGGCTGGTTTCGAACTCCTGACTTCAGGTGATTCTCTCTCCTCAGCCTCCCAAAGTGCTGGGATTACAGGCATGAGCCACCACTCCCAGCTGCATCTTGCTACTTTAATTGGTCCCAAAACTAGTAATATCTGGCATCACCTAGGAAATTGTCAGAAAAGCACAATCTGAGACCCAAACCCACACCTACTAAATCAGAATCTGCATTTTAGCAAGATCATTGGAGATTCGTGTGCATGTTATATTTCAAGAAGCACTGTTCCAGCACAGAGCACTAATAAAGAATATGGCCCTTGGCAAGCTTAAAAAGAGTCAATAAAACCATGGCCAAGGAAATGTCCCTAGGAGAAGATACGTCTTTCACTCTTCCATAGGGGGCAGTTAGTGCTCCTACATTTTAGGACATTTTAATAGTTTCAAATCAAAAACAACTTTTAAAAAATGTGGTCTTATATGAACTCTCAGTTATACATTGCCCATTTTTTGTAAGACCATTATATTTCCCAAATCAGTAAATCTTCTAAATAATATAATCATAAAGTTTGCCTTCACTTTGTTACTGAACGTAGTTACGCTTATTACCTGTTTTCAACTTATTTTCTTTAGATGATGTCCCAATTCTGTATCTACCTTTCCCCCAACCACTCACAGTCCAGTAGTTATAAGGTGAATAATTAAGGTTGTAGGGAATCTACAAGTACTTGCAACTTGTAGGTTCTGGATATAATAGCAAAACATAAATAGAATTTGGAATCCTATAACTGAGTTTGTTGAAACGACCAGACCCCTAAAATAAGGATAAAGAGCAAGGTTTCTGTTGTTTTGTTTTGCTTTGCTTTGCTTTGCTTTGCTTTGCCTTGCTTTCATGTCGGTTAGGTTTAGAATCTACATATTCAACACTGTTTTTAGAAAACGTTAACTGGCAGCTATCTAGAGCTTTATCAGAGCGTTTCCTGGCTGCTATTTTGTGGTCTTCTAGCTAGTATTTGGGAGCCAGGTCTCACCACGAACCATTTCAGCACTACGGACAGCGCCTAGGCGCCTTCTCCTGGGAACCGAGGGGGATTCAGTTGTGTTTGGGTGGAAGAGGGAAGGGAAAGAGTAAAGAAAAAAGAGCTCCAAACGACACATTCAGTCTCCAGTTAAACCAATACACCTTTCACTCCTGAATTTTCCTTGCCAGATAAGAAGAAACATGTAAGAATGTAGCGCCTACTGTTCGACTGAAACTGCTGTCACCAAAGCACAGGAAAATGCCCGCGGCACAGCTAGGAATGCAGCAAAGAGAGCAAAACAAGGATTTCAGCAGTGAATTAATTAAACCCCCACTGCCTTAGTAAACAAAGATAGTGATGAAATCTAATTGCTAACCTTCAGGATGTGTCATGAGAGAAAAATGAGCGTCTATTTTTTTTTTTTCTTCCTCTCTTTCTCTTTCTTTTAGCAGGAATAGATAAAGCCTGTTGCTGCTGGAGCCGATTCCCTTCCCCTCCTCATCTCCCACCTCTTTTCAGCCTCACATACACACACAGACGCTGTCAGGGACACACGCGAGCGCAAATATTTACACACTGCCACACCGAGGAAATCCATGCACGTTTTCCTGCAAACACACGCGCGCGCGCACACGTACTTCGGCGGACGCCCACGTCCTCTGTCTCACCGACAGACACAGACATTTACACTCCTAGGCCAGGAAAGCGCTAGCCGGGGTCCTGTGACTCCACGCAGGTTCCAGAACACGCCTTCTACATTATTACTGAACCGATCAGCGAACACAGATAAACGTGCCAACACTTAAGTCTACTGGCTGGACTTCATCTCCATGGCAACAAGCATGGAAGGTGAGACATCGCTGCCTGCGAAGTAACTTTCTCCCCCTTCCCTCCGCATTAACTGACAGCGTTCCAAATGCAGGTCCAGATGAGCAGCATGCCCTCATTCTCTTGCATTTCTAAAGCAAAACAGCGAGTGGTGGGGCGGTGGGTGGGGGAGCCAGCAGGTCTGATAAGTTCACGTTCTGAAGGGGAAACAGCAGCCCTAATGCTAGTGCCACTGCTGATGCGGCTGCCAAGGGGGGGAAAGTGTTGTGTACGTGCAGATTGCTGATGCTTCTCCCATAATGTTTTGTAGGAAGTTTCCATGCTTCTTCGGCTTAGTACGTAGAAAGAGACCTGGAGACAAACAACGCAGAATGATGATGATGGTCTAGATTTTTTTAATGAGATATTTGGAGAATTTTCAGACCAGGTTTCCCAGTGCTTTGGAAGGATTAAGTGTCAGAGTCCTTGAGCCATTCAAAGATTCTCCTGAGAGAGAAATTCTCTTAAGGTTGAAATCTGAGGGTTTGGGGATGGATTCTGGCAGATCCTAAGATTTGGGATCTCTGGAAAGCCCTGAAGTTTATGCATTTCACCATGATGAAGACATCTGGGTTTGTAATTTAAGGTTTTCCTTTGATTCCAACACATTTGATTCTTAATGATTAACTACCTCTGTGCAGATGTGGCTTCAATAATGCTTTTTTTCTTTCTTTTACTGGGATATAATAACATTTATATTTTGTGTGGAATGTGTATATGTATGGAAGGGTCCATTATTTTTTAAGCTGGGTTTTCCTATATGTCTTATTTTATGAAATTATGAATGTCATCATTAGCAGTAGAGATTATTGTATCTAATGGCCAGTACTGAAATACTTTCCACCTAGAACATCATATTCCACTCTAATAGTTACTATTTCAGGCTTACTATTTGGAATACCATTACTAGATACATAAATAAGAGGAAAAACCTGTTGATTAAAATTAAACACGGGGGTTCTTTCTGTAATGGGTACACATTTTTAACATCGGGTTCTGTAATTGTACATTATTGCATGATGATTACATGATTTTATCTGAAAGGTGTATTTTTATATCTCTAGTAAGGTTATGTCACAGAAGAAATAAACATCACTAACAATATTCATGAATATGAAAGGTTGCATTTCAGGTATAAAAATACTATGCTTGACTACTTACAAGGGTATGATTTGTAAGTACTGATCACAGGAAGACTTTGTTTTTTACTTACTGGATGCTAACTACAAAGCAACTTCATGAGATTTGGGCTATTTGATATCTACAGGAATACCCTTGGCCCAATCTGATGACTCATCAGTACTTAGAAATCTTAGTGCCTGACAATTGTCATGAAGGAAATGTACTTTCAACCAAGTTACTCATTGCCAAAGTACCTAATCATTTATTCCAGTGAATATGGCACAAGACAGTATTTTATTATTTGCATCAGTGGCACTAAAAGATACTTAAATATTTTAATCATTCTTCATATTGATCCTGATATTTAAATTGTGCATTGTTGATTTTGCCCATTTTTTGTGGTGTAATATACTACAAATAATTTTTACCATTACCCAATTTTACATTCTACTTATTTTTGAAAATTTATTTTTTTTCCTATTTTTATATGGATTTTTTAATTTGTGGTTTTGGAACATCATCTAAATTTTCTCAGATTTCTTTCATTTTCTATTTCCCAGCAAACAGGATATTAAGATGATGCTTCTCCAGGGCTAGGTATTACAGAGTCTGTCGTGAAGAGCTCTTCCAGCAATTAGAAAGAGTGAAAATGCATATTTTATCTATAACTGTTGAGTATTTTGAATACCTTAGTAATTGCGAAGAAATCAGTTTTGTAACTGGAGACTTTTACTTTTAACGATATATTGTAGTTAACAATATTTTTATATCATACTGTGCTCTATATCAACAGAAAAGCAGAAGACTTGGCACACTTAGCAGTATATTCTCAAAAACTTTAGATTTGGTATTGAAATGAGACAAGTTGTTCATTTCACAGAGCAAGTAAAATGGAAGGTTTCAGCGATCATTTGAAAAATTTAGGCCAGAAATACTGGTATTTCAATTGCTACATATATAGTTTAAATTACCAAAACCATCTATTTGCTGAACATATTGTTAGGCAATTACTTAACTTTTTGCTTCTATTTGCTTGTGTAGTCACGGCCTGAAGCAATGGCCAGAGTTTTTAATCAGCCTTTGAATATTACTTCAGTTGCTCTCCTTGACCTGCATTTTGTTTTCATCTTTAGTATAGACTTTTATGGTAAATATAAAAGCCTGTTTTCCCTTTTAAGATATTAATAAAACATTTGTTCTTTCTCAACCCATGTTTTGTTAAAAATGGAAATTTTTGCAATTCTTTGAACCCAGGTAAATTTATGTGGTGCTTTCTTTAAAAACTGAATATGCAGTCATGTCTTCATTATAGAAAGTGATTCGTCTTATGATTTAACCTTCTGTACCTTTAATTTTTGACCAAGTAAAACTTATTTTCTGTCAAGTTTATTTACCATCTGACTCTGTTTTCTCATCACCCTCACTCCTAACTCTCATTCAATTTAGTGTCCCTCCTCAACCCTCAACTAAATTTTTATAATGATGAAATAATTCCGAATGCCAACCATAAGACTCTGTTTTCAGTGCTTAGTTTTCATCACCACTGCAGAATTTGACACTATTTACTAATGCCTCCTTCTAGAAAGCCTGGCCTCCTTTATTGTGGTAAACTTTCTGCTGCAGATTTACTCATGATCCTTCTTATATAACTCCACTAGAAGATTCTCCTTGTAGGAGAGGCATTCCTTGAAGCTCCTTGCTAGGCTTCGTCCATCTTTAATCATTTCTGGTAACAGAAAATAGACTTTAATGGAATTACAATAAAATTGCTCTATGGATTGATCGAGAACAAGCCCATCTGGCTTTCTACAAGATAATACTTCAAATATTTGAATCTACCTATTGTCATCTTTGGTCTTCCCTTTCCTAGGCAAAACTCAACAATTCTTTTCTTTAAGGTTTGATGTGCAAATACTTCCATATACTGGGCTCTCTCCATCCTGGATACAGTCTTCTACACAAACATTATTTAACAACAATACCTTAAAATATTCTCTCCATCAAAAATTTAATGCTAGACAAAATGATCTAGATTAATGTATTGAAAGCTGTCAATTGAGTGCTTACTATGCATCACACGAGTACCGCAAATTCACCAAGTTCCGAAGTAAACTCATCATTTACTTTCTAATTCTATATTTTGCTCTTATTTTCTTTGTTTTGATCAATAAAAACACTATATTTATACTTGCTCAAACTTAATAGTGAGGAGTCGTGTTTGATGCTTCCCTCTCCATGGGCCCACTACTTTCTAAATCCTACCCCTCCTATTTTTCCAAATATCTTTCCAACCTCTACCATCTTGTACACATCTAATCCCTAGTGTAGACCCTCATTGCTTCTCACCTGAACCATTTCTTTCCCATGATGCTTTGTCTTTCAAAATTATGTCTATTTCAGTCTCATCATCAAGCCACTCAGCCTTTAAGCAAATAAATTTCAAACTCAGCCTGGCAGTCAAAATATTCGAACCTACCTTTCCAATGCTTGGTTTCCTATACTCCCTCTAGCCTATACCAAATTGCTCACTGTGCTCTGAATAAATCCAGTACATTTCTGTCTTCGTATTTATTGTCATGCTCTTTTCTTCTTTTCAGGTCTGAATTGTTCTGTCTCTCAAGACTCAGTTCAAATACAATCTCTTGCGAATAAAACTTTCCTGATCCCTCAGTGGGTGAAATCTTGATTCCATCTAAACTTGTTTATCCTTTTTGGATCTTCTTTTTTTTCACCAAGATGTTGAAGACAATAATATCAACACAATGTGGGCATTGTGGGAATTAAATAAAATAATGTATGTAAAGCAGTATTTTGATACACAGTAGATTTTAAATACAAGTTTGTTTCCTCCTCTTTTTTATTGCTTTTGTAAAAGCCTGCATTGCTGTTTTTTTCCTTGTGTATACATGGCTCTTCTCTCTTACTAGCTGGAGTCTTTTTGAGTAGAGGGGTCCATGTCTACTAGAGCATAGTAGCAACCCTATAAATATTTTTCAATGAAAGTATAGTGAATATATGCAGTCTTACTTTATATGTGGTCTGACTGATGCATTATAATAATGTTATTACTTTCTATCATTTGCACCCCCATTCAGTTTTAAGACATTTGCTTTTGTAAGCCACAACCTCATGTCTTTGGCTCATACTAACTTGATTAAGGGCAGCTTACAGATTTATTTTACATGAACTGCCAGGTCATTATTTCCCCTGTTTGGGGTTGGTGCATCTTCTTCCCTCCCACTTAAACGTTGGGCTTTAGAAGTGTTTCTATTAAATTTTATGCCGTAGTTTCAACCCAAAATTCTAGGCATCAGAATTGTTTTGAGCCTTTATTCAATGTGCATCATATTTCAGCCAAGCTTTGTCAAATTTATTAAGCTTCACTTCAATATCTTCAACTTAGTCATTCTTTAAAAACACTGAAAAGTATGTGTAGATAAAGTTAAACCTTTGTAATACCACACTGGAGACCCATCTCTGTGATCACAGAACCCAATATTTATTAGGGTATTTCAGAGCTATGAATCTACATAAAAATATTATTATCCAGGCATATCTCATGTCTTCCCCACAAAGATATCATGGGAGGCTGTTAAATGCATTGCCAAAATAACTAAACCTTGTCCATGCTATTTCCCTGATTCACCATATTAGTAGTAAACATTCAAAAAGGAAGTGAATTGGCACTGCCTATTAAACTCATGTTAACTTGTAATGACTTCTGAAATATTGACAAATTACTTGTTAAATAATTAATTATGGGTTTGCAACAAAGATCAATTCCAAGTTACCAATACATAATTTTTACAAGTCCCCCTTACTCCTCTTGGAAATTGAGACATTTGTCCATGTCCTTACCTCTGGCAGCTCTTTCATGGTCTATAATTTCTCAAACGTCTTGAAAGTACATCTCCAAGTTATAAACTATCTGTTCATGAGAGTGTTAACTCATTTAGTGTGGCTACACATTATTCTACTAAAGTATTTGTCCCCTTACATCGTTTGATTTTTTTGTCATTTCTAAAGCTCATTCTACATTGGTTATCCACCATCATTCTCTTTCCTCTTAACTTGCTTTGCTTTCTTTCATGGCCTTTATGACTATGAGTACCTGCCATAATATATAGATACGGTTATATAGAGACAGATATTTTTAAATAATTGTGTCTGTCTTCACCACTGGGATGTAACCATAAGTTTGGCAAGTGCACATTGTTATCTAGTTCACCACTGTACTCCAGTACCAAAAGCAGTATTGACATCTAAGAGATACTCAATATATATTTGGTTTAATGAATACATGAAAATATTATGTGTTACCTCAAGTTCATCTAGCTCTTTAGATTTCTTAACAGCATTCTGAAAGTTTTGGGTCACTTCTCAGCATTTTCCCTGATTTTACTGCGTTTGCTCCTGTATTTGTACCAATAATAGAGACACAGAGTGCTTATAAATTATGTTTAAAGCCATGAAATAGCTATTTATCTATTCCTCCAACGTAGTATAAAAATGGTGACTTTGTTTATTTATTAACAGTGACTCTGCATATCTACTCATTCTTTATGCCCTTACATGATTCCAAAAGCCTTTGAAGTATCTTACAATACCTTCTTAGTTAAGGGTAACAGCCAAGTAATGTAGAGGGCAGGGACGGAAGAAGAGGGAGTAATTATACCAGAAATCTTAAGCTAACCAATGTCACTATACTTGAATACAAAATTTAACCCTATACTTCCCAGCACAAAGTAATGCCAAAATATATGTTGGCTATATATCTTTCCTTAGAAAACAAAAGGAAACTCCCAAGGTTGTTAGGAAACATCTATTTTCTCTACCTTTGAATACTAAAAATGATGTGAGTCTGAGAATGCTAAGTAAATTTGATAGAAAAGAACAAAAACACTGAACTCTGAGCTACTGAGTTTTTATACTTATTTTCAAAGCCAGTTTTTGAAATCAAAGTTTTCTTTTTCATTTTAACTAAATGTATTTTCATGCTTTCTGGACATTTAAAACCTAGAGTCTTGTACAAAACTTTATTTGAAGGACTTCATTCCTCAAAAAATATATTCTACAATATATTTAGTTTAATTCAATTAAAGTATTTATTGAATACCTATAGTGTGCTGGGAACTGTGATCATTAGGTGAGAAGTAATTATTTTCCATTTAAAATGATAAATACTCTTTAATTTACATATCATCTAAGGCTCTAAGAACAAAGTATTATTTGGTGTATGATGGACATATATTCTAAAGTACAAAGGATTTTGTATGTCTTAAGTAGGAAGATGCCTTGTTTTAAATTGATAGTAACAAATGAGAAGAATGGTTTTTTTTGTTTGTTTGTTTGTTTTTTGAGACAGAGTTTCGCTCTTGTTACCCAGGCTGGAGTGCAATGGCGCGATCTCGGCTCACCGCAACCTCCGCCTCCTGGGTTCAGGCAATTCTCCTGCCTCAGCCTCCTGAGTAGCTGGGATCACAGGCACGCACCACCATGCCCAGCTAATTTTTTGTAGTTTTAGTAGAGATGGGGTTTCACCATGTTGACCAGGATGGTCTCGATCTCTTGACCTCGTGATCCACCCGCCTCGGCCTCCCAAAGTGCTGGGATTACAGGCGTGAGCCACCGCGCCCGGCCTGAGAAGAATGTTTTATTGCTGCCTCTAAAAATCGCCTCTTTTCATTGGTTCGTTTGGTTGGTTAGTAGGTTTTAAGAAAAATAAGAATGTAGTAAATGAATCACTGGGTAAGAGTCAACAGACTTAACTACTCCAATGACTAGCTATGATACTGTGTCTGGGTCTACATTATGCATTTTCAAAACACCTGAATACATTTAACTAACATCATAACTTTAGTCAGTTTAGGCTACCGCTAGATGATAAAAAAAAAGGAACTAGTTGAAAAATAAACAGATCATTAAAACTGCCCAAGTGCTTTAACTTTTGTGATGTCAATTGTTAAAAGTTAGACTCTCTAGAACCAGACTCTGAGACAGAGGTTAGTTTGCTGAATTTGTATTGAGGATTGTCCTTGGGCTCAACACCCATGGAAGAGTGGGAAATTAAACAGGAATGGGCAGAAGTTGAGGTGTGCTATGGACCCAGTGACAGTCTCTACTGAGCCCATATAGAACTCTGAAGCTAAAATAGGTTTTCAGAGCTGCCCTCCTTTGAGTCAAGATGGCCATGGCTTTATCCTATTATATAATCAATCACTGAGTATAGTCTTCCTTGGGAAGTGCCATGACTTTGGATGAAGGAGCTCTCTGCAACAGAAGCAATCAGTGAAAGAGGCTGAAGCTGAAGACTGCTGGTAACATTCTTTGCTGCTGGGCAACAAGTCCCTCGTTGAAGAAAATCTGTTGGGAAACCACAGTGTCCATCAATAAACCCATGTTTATTGCCTCCTCTTACCCGCATATCCTCTAAAATATCCACATCCTGCAGCCCAGCAAGGTTATGCTCTAGTAAAAAATAAATGAACAAGTGAGTTAGCTGAATCATCTCCTTGGTCCAACATCTCCATACAGAAACATCCTGCTGTTCAATTTCTCCATCCATTAAACAAATGAACCAGCAAGTGTATGAATCTTAACAAATGACTTTTAATTGACAAAAGCAAGAAAATTAGACATTTAGACAGCAAAAAAAGTTCCAGTTAAGTCTCAGAGTCATTAAAGATTCAATCCAGTCTTCTATGCTTTTTACAGGACAAATAGTACAACAAGAGCTCAACCTTCAGGAAGATCATTCTCAGCCAATAAATGTCCCTATATTTAAAAAAATAAAGTCATTTCACTATACTATATTGATTAGGACAAAAAATGATTTAGCGGAAAGAAACTCAACAGGGGTTTGAACAATAGTTTTTCCCTTTACTGAACAAAAAAAATCAAACAATGAACGTGAGTCATAATTATTGAATATTTCTGTCACTTAAGGTTTGAAGATAGAGCTTTTTTGTAATCCAAATCATTATAAAACAAAATATTGATTAATATTAATTGGTGTGTTACTTGCAGAATAATTTTGAAAGCTACAAGGCCTGCTTTTATTACTCTCTTTCTCCATTCCTTACCTCCATCCTTTGTACTGTCTCGTTGTTTTCTGAAAATTAGGTCCAAAAATTATCAGAAAAAGCAACAATAAAAAAGAAAATACCAACTGTCTATCATTCACAGTTATTAGATGAAAAGCTATTTGGTGACAGTCCTCTCTAAAGTGTGACTGTACATCAGTAATTTATTTGATTAATTAATTTTTATCTTTATTTGTAATTCATTTAACTAACTTAAGACATCAAATGGGGGGAAAAAAGCCTATTGTGTTTCAGTTCAACATATACTTTCTGACACTGTAGTGCTAGTTTTAGAATCTCAGCACAGTAGGGACTTTGGAGCGGAAATCTTGTTGGGAGGGGGACTGGGGAGCTTGTCTTGAAGTTGAATTTGCAGAGAAAGCATGTTGTTCAACTTGGATTTTATGTCTACTTAGGGTGTTCTGAAAACTAATGGAGATGGTGGGGAGGTGGCTAATGGCCATAGCCACTGCTGCTTATTACTTGCAAGCTGCTCTGTTGGGCACTGCCTGCATTAATGTAATTTTTAAAACATAATTCCTCTCTTTAAGAAATTGACACTCAGTATATCCAGTGTTAGTGAAGAAAAAAAATGTAAGTACACACATATAAAACCTAAGGGGGTAAAAAATAGAGAAGTCATTATGTCTGTTTAAAAGGATAAGAATCTATATCAGTCAAAATGGCACTGGAAATAGACCTTGAAGTTTGGACTTTAAACAGCTTGAGCAGCTTACATGCTATGATTATTTATATTACCTACACGTGCAAATATGAGGTGAAAATTAGATGACAATCTAGATCAGAGAAGCAGATATCTGTCTAGCAATGAATCAAAATATTTTAGGGCTGATAATTTCAATATCCACACTCACACTTGATTTATTTAGAGTATATAGGGACAGTCTTAGGGTCCACAAAGGTAATTCTCCAATGACAACATTTAAAAGTAGCATCTCCAGTGCTAATTTGATTCTGATCAATGTTTTCAAACATTCAGTGAGTTCAGTCAAGAAGGTTTGCAAAATGTCCGATTTTATTAAGCAACAACCTACCCAATACCATACAAGGATAAAACTAAACTGAGTCCAATTTTGTACCTAGGCCAAGAGTTGATTCCAGATGGAATTGTGAAGAGCCACAACCATGTGCCAGTGAATAATGAGTAGTACCTACTGTGGCAACTCTTCAGCTAAGATGAGTGTCAACGAAGTATCAGCTTTCTCATTGACTCTGGAGCAAAAAACTGGCTTTGCTTTTGTTGGGATTTTGTGTATCTTCTTGGGACTTCTTATAATCAGATGCTTCAAAATCCTGCTAGACCCATATAGCAGCATGCCTTCCTCTACATGGGAAGATGAAGTTGAAGAGTTTGATAAAGGGACATTTGAATATGCACTCGCGTGAGAGTTCCAGCTATACGGTTTTTATGGTTGCACCATTGGGACACGTTCTGGATACATTTGTAATTACCTTGCGTGTGTCTGAGAGAGGCTCATTTTGTTTGGTGAATTCAATAAACATCTGTGACTGATTTCTTTACCATGCTGAGCAAATGATAAACTATTGTTGGGATTCCTCACTTTCCTCTGTCTCCACTTGGAGGTTTCCAGTGAATAGAGCATAAGGATGGCTGCAGCTATGTTTACCACCTTTATTCTTGTTTTGCACAACTGCCTTGAATTTCTGCTTCCCTCCTTGTGCTAATAAACTGTGCAAAAGGCATCTTGCTCTCTCCCCTCTGCAAAGACCAGACACCCTCTCCACATTCCAGACTCAGGCCCCTTTAGCTTTAGTGAGTCAGGATTTAAACATAAGAAAATTTAGTCTGAAGAATAATCAGAGTATTATTTTTCTAATAATAGCCATAGGTCAAAAAGGTCCACAGATAAAAACAAAAAAGAATAACTCACAAACTAATATCCAAAGCCTACAAGTAGTCACAGGCCCCAAAGGTCCCCAAATTTCACAAAGCCCTGACCCTCCTATCTCTTCTCTTTATTGAATTTCTTGAAGTAAAGTCCCATAGCTTGGAATCCAAACCAGACCTGCCTAATACTGATGCTCCCTCTGCTTCCCCTTGCATAAACAGAATTTAAAAGGGAGTTTCCAGCATGACCTAGTAGAAGGAGTACTCTAAGCAGAAACAAACACAGTCTCAGCTGTGCCACCATTAGAGCTATGCTCTGATGGGTAAGTCATCTAGTCTCTGCGGGCTTCAGGGAAGAGGATTATTAACATCCTGTCCAATTCTAGAGCCCTATGAATGCTACCAATGTACCTGAAAACACAGAGATCTGAAATGAATGAGGATTTAATGTATCATGAAAAATTTTTCAGATTAGGAGCCTAAACTCAGAGATTTGAATTCTAATGTTAGCTTAGCTAAGAACTAGCTTTACGACCCAGGAAGTTATCTAAGGGGAACCTATCTTCCAAAATAAGAAGAAACCCATCTTGCATATCTTCAGGAATATTTAGAGGGTCAATTAGATATAATGAATGTCAAAGCAATTTGTAAACCATAAAACAGTATCTACACATACTTTGCTCTCATTATTTATTATCCTCATCAGTAGCAGTAATAGAGATTCTCAAACTCTAAGAAGCAATGGCTTAGTATAAATTATTCACTCTCTAGTATTTCATTCTCTTCAAATGAGAAATAAAAAGATAGAATTATATAGTTCTAAAAATTTTTTCCAACTACTAATTTCTGACCCTCTATGAGTCAGAATGGAGAAACGTAGCAGAAGATAAATACAAAAATATTTATGTCCTTTGAAAACACAGAACTGCAAAACATACCAAGAAGAAACAAGAGTAATATTACCAAGAGTTAGCACTAAATTGGTTACTTTCAAATTATTTGATAGTCTTATCAATTATTTGAGTTTGGGACTACTATTTCCATTTTATTTTTAATCTTAATTTTGCAGAAAAGAAACTGAAGCTGAGAGAAATTAACTAACTTCCGGAGGTCATCATAGCTAGGGAATGGTTAAGTTAGGGATTGAACTTGGGCAGTTTAATTTCTGCTATATCCCTGGACAATGTCCTCAATACTTCCACATAGCTTATAGGTATGCTTACTGCTCAAGTCTATGGCATTTCAAAACCAGCTGTCTCTATATGAGTTTCCTCGATGCTTTCCCTCTCATAATCGATTTAGAACATATCTATAATTAGCTGTGACTCTTCCGGACCAAATCCTCACCTCAGGGAGGCTCTTTGTACCCTAATTGGTTCAAGAATGTAGGCCTGGTACACCTTATAGTCAGTTAGTAACTTGGCCCAAGAACAGGTCACTGGTCCAAGTTCAGTTGAACATACTGAAAGTTGTGCCAGGAAACTGGATGTCTCTTTAGAGACCAAGGCTTTTAAAGTACCAGGTGTTTCATTTGTATCCCAGAGAAGACCCTCCATTTTGATGACTAGAACAACACAAGGCCAGACCTTTATTTCAAAGGAAGAAAGACACTTACAACCAAGAGGCAGGAAAACTTTATACAACATGAGCATTGTTTCTGGAAGTTCAACTCCCATAAGCTTTTCAAGTATATCAACTCTGCCGTAATATTATTTCCAAATCCACTAAAGAAAAATTCTATTAACCAAAAGAGTCTTCTTCTGTGGTTTTTATTTGTGGTCTATTGGGTGCCCTAGATTTTTTTTTGGTTGGGGGGGAGTGGAGGCAGTAAGAAAGTCAGCATCTGTAGCTTCAGAACCAGAAACTACAATGTCTGGTTACAATGTGAAAACAACATGAAAATTTCATGAAGTGTTAATTATTCTAGGAATAGATGTTCAATGTCACTTCTGGATCAGCCTCTAGCTTCCCCTTTCCAAAAGCCTTGTCACAGAGGACAGGAGGAAAGATAGAGGAGCATACCTCAAGATAGCTTGCTTCTGTTACCTTTCCCGCATGTCTGAAAGGCCTAAGTCAGATTCACCTTTCAAGGTTGGCTTTACGGATGGTGTAATTTCATCCATATCCCTGAAAACCATCTCCCATTTGTTCCAGGATGCCTGAATCCCCTTAACAGAGAACAAAGACTTTCATTTCACAGTGAGAGATAAAAGGCTTAGAATGAAAATGTCTGGTTGATGTAAGACCAAGACTAAAACAAATTCGTACTACTCTGAAGTCAGGCAGTCAGTCAGAAAGAAAAAAGAAATCGACTGGTATCAGAAGTATTCACAGTCATTGGTAGAGGAAAAAAGGTTGCAGAGTAAGTAAGTGGCTCCCCAAAGGGTTGGAGGATGTCAGCTCATGGCTTCTGTCCTGGTCTGGTGAATTGGAACTTGTTTTGGGTCCCAGCCCCATCCTAGCTGTCCCTTGTCTTGATCTAAACAACCAGCCCCACCCACCTGAATTTGAAATGTGCCATTCCTATGCCTAAACACTTTCTATATGAGGAGTCAGAACCCTTTGTTTAACAGATAAATGCCTTATACTGGTGGCCTTTAAGAGTAGAATGAGTTATAGGTACATCCTTGTAATTCTGTCTCTATTTCTGACATAGCCTCACAGTATTAGCCTGACTGATTAGCATGACATTTACCTGACAAAGAGAATCTAAAGGATTTTACTTAGGGTATCTCTAGACACTTCTATAATCCTGTTTCAGTTCACTAACTTTTACATTTATTTTTATAGACATAATATCTATCCCAATCACTAATGATCCACCTCAAAATCTTGAATGTGCTAAGTAAAAATCTCTGCCTAATTGTAAATAGTGCTAAAATAGTGAGAGCAAGCATTAGGTACAAATTGTTGCTGTTCTAAACTTCATACGCAAACTAACTCATTTATTCCTCACAATAACTCTACCACAAGGTAGGTACCCTTATTATCCACATCTGCATTTGCGGATGAAAAAATTAAGGCACAGAAAGATTGAGTAACTTGACTGAGTTCACACAGACAGCAAGTGGCAGGGCCAGGACATAGGTTGGGCCTTCTGACTTCAGTCTTGCTCCTAGCCACAACCAAGCTACCCAGACAACTGGAAATCACTTGAATCATTTCTTACAAGAAACAAAGAGGACTCATTCAATCATCCTGAATGAAAATCAGTGACAGACCTGAGAGAGGAATTGTTTGCTGTGTTAATCACCTACTCGCAGATCTGAAAAAGAAAAACTTTTTCCTCAACGAAAATCAAAAATTCAGTTTGACAAAAAATTGTTTTTCCAGTCGGAGACAGAAAGGTCATTTAGTAGTGCCACTGGGATACTTACCCACACTCTGATTCCTGCTTAAAATAGTTTTCCCTGTTGGCTCACACCTGTAATCTCCGCACTTTGGAAGGCTCTTGAGGCGTGATCGCCTGAGGTCAAAAGATTGAGACCACCTGGCCCATATGGTGAAACCCCGCCTCTACTAAAATTAACAAAAAATTAGCGAGGCCTGGTGGTGGGCGCCTGTAATCCCAGCTACTTGGGTGGCTGAGGCAGGAAAATCGCTTGAACCTGGGAAGCAGAGATTTCAGTGAGCCGAGATGGTGCCATTGCACTCCAGCGTGGGGCAACAGAGCGAGACGCTGTCTCAAAAACAAACAAAAAACAGTTTTCCCATACGTAGAAAGGTTTTCAATAAATCATTAATTCCACTCTCAATCTGCTTACTTCCCAGGCAGAAGAGTCAAGGTAATATCTACTACAAGCAAGATAAAATCATTTCAGATACTACTTTCTAGTACAGAGTTTAGAAATTCGCTCTGGAGAGCTGTATTTTGATACACATGCTAAACAATAGGAAGTCACGAGCACTCATCTGAAATAAGACGGTGAAACTCAATTTATCTAGTCCCAAATGACTAACGCAATGCTCATATTTTTTGGATGATTGCTGTTAAGCAATCCATTCTCCTTATGAATTAAAGAAACTCTACGTTACTTTCTGTCTAAAAGGATTAATGATTTACTACTAGTTACCAGTTGATGTGGTACTTAAGGTTCCTCAGGGCTAATGACTGGGTGGAGCTTACAGTGCTATTCCAGGCCAATCATTGCACAGCCATCTCTTTCAAGAAAGTTTCTAACCAATAAGCAGAAGCCTAACATTCTGAGCTGAAAGCTAAGTGCCCCATATAGTCCTGGGTGACGCTGAAGCACGTTACGTTTCCTCAGAAGGCTCCTTGGTGGTAAGTTGAGCGTTTCTGGGCAGGGTAAAAATCATACTTAATATTATGTCATAAAGTAAAATCTAAAGAGTAGGTGAGGGTGTCAAGGACTATGAACAGAAGTGTTTTGTAAAAACTGAAAAGATAATAGCTTCACTTATAATTTCCCCAGGAAATGTTACTTGGGAAATAAAGTTGAGGGGTTTTTTTAATGCAAAGACACAGCTTTAATAACTGCATGAGAGAGGCAAATTTTTGTTTGTATTTATCTCATTTTTCTAGAACTTTCCTTGAAAAGCCAAATGATAAGATATAAATAAGGAAACATAATTCTAAAGAAAATGTTTTAAGACAGGCCAGTACTATGAAATTGTGAAAATTATTATGAAGTCTATTCATCTCACAGTCAAATATAAGCCACTCAATTATTTAGGACATTTTATTAAAATGAGTCAGTAGAGCATGAGTATTTTACCTAAATATAGCCAAGGACTTTTTTACGGGCTGTGACTTATTTCTTTACCCCAAATACTTATATTTTTTAGGGTTTCATGTTAGTATTTGCAAAACAAACAAATGTATGAGCAAATGAAATATTTTAAAGAATAGTAAAAGTTCCAAGAATTTACAGAGACATCATCCTGATGGGATGTATTTTTTAAATACATATTCTAAAACATAATTTTTCACTTGTTGCATAGGTAACAAAATTTGGAACAAATTTATTAATTGAACATGTACAGATTTTTATAAACTAGCAAAAACATATTTTTTAGAAGTCTTGGTTTTTTTGTTTTATATTTCATATATTGTCATTCCTATCAGAATACTTTGCAGTTTTAGCATTTAGTACTGTCGGCCAACTATGTCTTAGGCTGAGAACATTCTCGTCAGTTCTTACTGTATTCAGTAGGTAGAATTACATCTTTTCTAGAGTCATAGTGAACTCCAGTGCACTGATAAATTTTACTGAAATGAATTTAAAACTATATGTCTTGTAAAAGAAAACTATTCCCTTATATCCCACCCTACTTAAATACATTTGTATTACTCAGAAAAAGTTTAATTTTCTTTTTCAATGACAGCTTTGAAGAACATCCTGAAGATTATATAGGAGACAATATATCAAGAATCTATTTATTGAATCATCTAGAACAAAAGCCAAGAGCTCCCTAATGGAAGCACATTAGTGTTTATTTTGAGGAAGAAGTATATAGATTTTTTAAAACAACCATAAAGTAGATAGCTTACTAAAAAATCAGTTTTGGAAGATGTCACTGAACAACTCTTCCAATATATTTCTGGATTCGGTGCCCAGTAATACCAGTCGCTTTCAAGTTAATGTCATAAATGAGAACCATGAGAGCAGTGCAGCTGCAAATGATGACACTGATCCACCACATTACGAAGAAACCTCTTTTGGGGATGAAGCTCAGAAAAGACTCAGAATCAGCTTTAGGCCTGGGAATCAGGAGTGCTATGACAATTTCCTCCAAAGTGGAGAAACTGCTAAAACAGATTCCAGTTTTCATGCTTATGATTCTCACACAAAGACATACTACCTA